CAGATACTAGAAATAAGAAAACAACAATCCTGGGTTGGGGGGAGATACAGCTCAGTGATAGAGTGCATGCTTAGCATGCATGAGGTCCTGGGTTCAATCCCCAGTACCTACACTAAAACAAATAAGTAAATAAAGGAACATAATTACCTCCCCCAACCAAAACCAAACAAGCAAAAAATAATAAACAAATAAATTAAAGAAAAAAGAAAACAACAACCCCAAAGCCTGTGGAAGGAATCCACAAACACATAGAAAGATAGATAGATAATATAAGGTGGCAAAGGAATATCTCCCAGGACAAGGCACAAGATAAAATCCCAGAAGAAGAAATAAGTGATAAGGAGATGGGCAATTTATCTGAGAAAGAGTTTAAAGTAATGATGGTCAAGGTGTTCAGAGAACTCAAGAGGAGTATAGATGCACAGAGTGAAGTTTTTAGCAAAGAGTTGGCAAATATAAAGTATACCCAAACAGAGTTGAAGGATAAAATCACTGAAATGAATAACACACTAGAAGGATGCAATAATAGAATAAATGAGGCAGAAAAATGGATCACAGAGCTAGAAGACAGATGAGTGGAAACCACTACTGCAGAACAGAAAAAGAAAAAAGAATGAAAAGAAATGAAAATAGTTTAAGAGAACCCTAGGACAACATGAAGCACACTAATATTCACATTATAGGGGTCCCAGAAAGAGGAGAGAGGGAGAGAAAGGACCTGAGAAAATTTTTGGAGAGATAATAACCAAAAGCTTCCCCAACTGGGCAAAGAAACAATCACCCAAGTCCAAGAAGTGCAGAGAGTATCACACAAAATTAACCCAAAGAGGAACACACCAACACACAGTCATCAAATTGACAACAATTAAGAAAATATTAAAATTAGCAAGAGAAAAGCAACAAATAACATACAAGTGAACTCCCATAAGGTTATCAGCTGAGTTTTCAGCAGAAACTCTACAGGCCAGAAGGGGGTGGCAAGATATATTTAAAGTGATGAAAGGGGAAAACTTACAACCAAGAATACTCTATCCAGCAAGGCTCTCATTCAGACTTGATGGAGAAATCAAAAGCTTCACAGATAAACAAAAGCTAGAAGATTTCA